CTCAGGTTATTTGCTGAGCGTATAGACATAGTTAGTATGGTGAAAGTATGCTAACCTGACACGTACCTTTCCTGATTATAAGATATACAGTACCCTCTTATTCTGTTCAGATGACTACCTGTTATTCTATGTGTAGGCTCGATGGAAGCACAATTCTAGAATTCTTGTTTTTTTGCCATGTTCACTGTAATTTGTTATTATCTGCACAAATAGTTGAATCCTGTTTTGCAAGGTTGATAAAACTCTTTTCTAGAAAAGTATTTTAATACCTTTTTTCCTTTTTAAAACAACAGATTTTTTCCTAAAGAAATTTTTTAAATTAAAATAGCTTTATCGGCATATAATTCACATGTCATACAATTCAGTAGTTCAGTCACTTCAAGAAGGAGATGTACAATCATCACCACCATCAGTTTTACAACATTTTCTTCATTTTTATTAAGATCATTTTATTGGGGGCTCTTATAACTCTCATAGCAATCCGTGCATCAATTGTAGCAAGCATATTTGTACATATATTGCCATCGTCTTTTTCTAAACATTTACTTTCTATTTGAGCCCTTGGTATCAACTCCTCTTTTTTCCCTCCTTTCTCTACCCTCCCACCTTCGTGAACCCTTGATAAATTATAAATTATTAATTATTTTCATATCTTACACTGACTGGGGTCTCCCTTCACCAACATTTCTGTTGTCCGTCCCCCTTGGTGGTATGTGTGTGTGTGTGTGTTATGATCATGGCAATAAAAAGAAATCTTATGCAGAGAATGATTTTATGAAATGGGTAAAAGCAAAGTTGTTCTCTTTCTATGGGGTCAGAGCCTAGTATTCTTGACATATCAGCACAGTGAAAATCTTCTGGTTTACAAGATTTAAAAGACTCATTACCTGAGATTATTCATCGGGAATTATTTTTGGATGGTGTTGCATGAAAAGCCTTGTATTTTGGAAAAATTGCAAGTGATGCTATGTTAAGAAAAATTCATGAAGGTTAATTCATTTCAGTAATTTACTGCAGGCACTTCTTAAGTAGTTGTATTTGAGAAGGTGTTACTTGTGTTTACGATTTTCACTCTATGTATGCATACCTACCGACAGATGTAAACACACATACGTATATATGTAAACACACATACAATCCACTAACATGGAATTGATTCTAATTCTTAGCAACCTGGAGACTAAATCTTTATGGGAGCAGACAGCCTCATCTTTCTCCATAGGAGTGGTTATTCAGTTTGAAGTTCCAACGTTGTTGCTCATAGCTCACTGCCTAACCCATAGTGCTCCCAGTGAGCCTGCGGACAGAAAAGTTTTGCTCAGCAGTTGTGCATATGACTCTCCGTGACATGGCGGGGAAGGCTCTGCTGCGTAAGCCCCATTTCTCCTGCCAGAGGCACTAAGTGCTGGGAGGTCTGCTGCAGTTGCCCTCAAGGAAAGTTATGAAGGGCGGGCATGGTTGTGAACATCACTTTGACCAGAGTCTTCAGAGCAATAGTGTTCCACTGCTTACTTTCCGTGGATAGAGTAAACATGGACATACAGACTAATATGAGCCTCCTGGTACATTGCTATTCAGATTCATAATGAACAATATTCTGAAATTCTTAAATTTCCTATACTTTTTCCCACTTCCTCTTGATTATTACTATTACTACAACTATGTTTTTTACAGGTTTTCCCAAGATTAAAATTTACAGATCCTAAAATTCATTTCACTTAGCTATGCAGTTTAGATAAACAGTTACACTTGCTTAGCCTATGCAGACTTATTCTTTATATAATATTTCCATCTCCTCAGAAAGTTTTATATCACTTTATAGACTGTTTCCATTTTCCTAGAAAGTTTTCTGGTCAAGTGATTCTTCCCTGCCCTCAGAAAACCACTGTTGTTCTTATTTTATTTAAAAAAAACACCAAACAGAGAGACTGGTTTTGCTTTTAGCCTTTAAAAATACTTTTATGTATTAGAAAAAGGTTGTGAGAAGACACACCAGTATATACCTATTCATTTTTAAATTATGCAAACAACTATTGGCAATCCGTGTTTTAATTATAAATGAAGCTGAATAGCCTTATTTCCCCTTAGTTACCCCTGGGGGTGAATTTCCCACTTGAAGCTGTTCTTTCAAGTACTTGTTGTGGGGACCCAGCACTCACACACTTTGTAATCTCTCTTAAGATGTTGCTTCCTTCAGGAATTCTAATATCTCCTCACTGAATTGCTGCGTTGCCAGCTGTAGATCTTTGATTCTGACTTTAGCTTTGTAGAGACCTTGGATCTCAGGTCTTGTCCGGTGCGAACAGGGGTCTACTTGCTGACTTGACCACCCTTTTCTCCGCCAACTTTAGTGGTTGTGGCAGACTGGTGTGCTAACATTGGTGGAGGGGAGAAGCCAGTGAGAGAGATGATCAGATGCACTGAGGGGAGTCCTGGATTAGGAAACCTAAGACCTTGGGTTCTCCTGCCCGCTTCCAGCTTGGTGTCCTTAGGCAAGTCACATAATCCCTCTGTTTCTAGGCCCACTAGCTGAGTAAAGCTTTTGCTTGATCAAATCTTACTACGAATAGGCAAGTTCTAAAATCTGTCAGGAAATTGAGTTCGTGGGAATCAATATACGTGCAGAAGGTCAAGAGCCATGCTAGGGAACGTGGTATGTGCGGATTTCTAATGTGGTGAGAAGGCAGTACCCTTGTTACCTAGTGGCCACTTACCTAATTTCATAAGAAACTGTCCAGATTTTGCATCACCTTGGTGGTGCTATTCTCAGGAGAGGACCCTGACTCTATGTAAAAGACAAGCCTGGGAGGGAAGCTGGGCAATAGAACATTGAGTACACGGAGATCTTAATCATCATCATCATCATCATCATCATCATCAGCAGCAGCAGCAGCAAGAGAAGCAAGTGTGGAGAAGCCTTAGAGAAGGAATGGCAATAAGGGGAACCAGATTTCCAGGAGTGCCACGTAGTATTATCTAAAACCACCCCTGTTCCCCCGAAGTTAGGACTCCGAGGGCCCACGTGCACTGAGTTGCTTCCAGTGAATAGAGACCCTATAGCACAGCCTCTACAACTGAGAGTCACACCCCGTGTAGTCACACATCACCGGATGTGGGGTTCTCCGGAGGTTTGGCAAAAGTGGAAAGTTTCGCAACACGCAGCCACCAAAAATTAATTCAAAACCAAACACATCATGAATCTGAGGTGTCTCTCTGGCAGCCCTTTCTAATATTGCAAATTTCTCCCCTGAAAAGGGGTTGTGAATGGAAAAACTGTAAGCAGCCAGGCCTTAGAGGACAGAGTAGAGTTGTTCCTTAGGGTTTCTGAGACTGTCAGTCTTTACAGGAGCGGGCAGCCCTCCCTCTCTCCCATGGAGTGGCTGGTCACTTTCAATGGTCAACTTTGAGGTTAGCAGGCTGACACTCAATCCACGATGCCACTGTGTCTCCTTGGAAATCTAGAGCTCCTCCTACCCCACCCCCCAAATTGTAGTCTATAATAAGGTGACCAGACGTCCTGCTTTTGGCGGGACAGTCCCGATTTTTAATAATTTTTCCTGTGTCCCGCGGCGTTTTAAAAAAGTCCCGATTTTTGGAAAGAATGCACGACAAGCTAGGACATATGGTTTTCGGCTGCCATGTGGCTATTTCGCCAGGATATGAGTTTTTATCAATGGTGTCCCGCTGGTGTCCCGCTTTACCAATGTTAAAATCTGGTCACCTTATAAACAAGAAGAAAAGCAGTCAATAGAAATGGACCACAACCACGCCCCACCCTCCATGGGGAAGAACAACAGAAACCATGGGGGAAAGGAGACAGTGGTCAGTGTGAGCTATGAAAATAAAATGATTTATAATCTATCGAGGGGCCACGGAGCTGGGTGGGGGAGGGAGGAGGAAAAAGAGGAGCTCAATAGAAAGTAACTGGGAAAACATGATGACAACATATGTATGCCTGATACAATTGATGTATGGATTGTAATAAGCATTGTTAAGAGCCCTCAATAAAATGATCAAAAAAATATTAAAGAAGTGGGCCTTGGATGTTCTGAGTTAACTGGCTGATTTTAGTGGGAAGAGGAGGTAGGTGCCCGCCTCTGTTAGTGAGGGAATACAGAACCTTGATATCCCATGGTCTCTCCACTTTGTCCAGCATTGTGATTTTATCGTATTGCACGGTATTCCTCCACCTGTGGCCAGTGCTGGTCATTATACTGCTGCTATAAACCCAGAAGTGCTGAACAGAAAGGCGTGCGTAAGTGGTGTGGTGTTTCCCTCCCCAAATGCAAAACAAATCCTGGAACACAGCTAATTTCTCTACGTCCTCACCTAGCCAGACACTGGACGAATTATGCTCTGCAAAAGCTTAAAATTAATGTAGAGGGAAGTTTTTGCACCGTGCTGCTTTGCCAGTGTCTGGCTATATAATTTGTCTGTGGATAAATTATTTAGTTCAGTTGGAAAAGCATATAAAAGTCATCAGTAAAACATATGTTCAAATAATCACTTTTTTCTCAGATCAAATTTGTTTTCCTCTGATCACATCTGGAAGGACTTTCTGCTTGGTTTATTTGAATTGTTCCAGTTATGTCTCATATAGCATTTTTAAAAATGTGCTGTTTTAATTTTACCCGTTTTTTGTTTTTTATTAGGATTGTCTTCTTCCTCGAGGTCTCCAACTAATATAAGAGTAGTTGGGCCCTTGGATAATGTGATTTTAAATGTTGATGCCCATTATGCTTGGCAAAAGTTTGTGTCTGCAGACACTGAAAATTTTCCGCCCCCAGTTTTGAAAACATTTACTTTGCTTCCAGTATTGCTGCATTAAAAGGGTCAGACACGAGGGAGTAAGTGAGGACCCTGTTTTGTCTCTTACATAACCAACATGACAACACCATCGGTTTGGCCTTGACCATTCCGGCCTCAGCGTTGGGTGTTCTGTAGAGGGAATCTCTAACTCTGCATCTTTGGAAACAATTATTTTAGAAAACAAAGGACAGTTTCCGTTTTAAAGTATGCAGATTAGGCTTTGATGATTAACTGACACGCATTCAGCCTTCAATCTCTTAGGCGTGGAGAAGGACGATTTAAATGTTGAGCTTGGGCAAAATGAATGGATCGTCATGCATTGTTGGTAAATAACCAATTAGAGAGAAGAGCACAGCGAAGCTTCTCCAGCTTTCCTGATAGAATAAAATGAGTGCCTTTTGCTCCTTTTCAGAGAGGGTGCCAGGATATTGAAAAGCAGCCTGGTTTACTTCCTTGCTTCAATGCTTTGCCACGAGGTTGTAGTGGCTCTTGTGATGTCACTGGCCACAGAGCGGGCAGATGTGTCTGTTGACCAGGGGTGTGTCAGGAGGAGGATGATTTGTTAAATATGACCTGCGTTAACACGGTCTGTGGGGTGCTCACGTTTGCCTTGACCTCATATTCTATTACCTGTGTCATGGCGAGCCAGGGGGGACTCCAACCAGCAACGTGGGCTATGTATTCAAACTGTGCCATAGTCCTGCTGGCAAAGTTGTCTTCAGTGGGTACTATGTGATAGGAGACCTTTTCCCGGTGGTGTGGTCAGTGGATTACGCGTGACTTTTGGTCTTACATGCTGTTGTTGGCACGGGGACACTCATAACCCTGGGTCTTGATGGCATGTTTGCAGTGTTGTATCTTTGTATCGCCCTCCTACTTACATCGTGGAGATGCAAAAGTTAGCCTTTGAACAAGCATGCCTTCCTCAGAATTATGGTGACTCCCAGGCAGGTTTGCCACGGTTTCTCATAGGAATTGTAAGGGTTTGGTTTTTCACCATGGGAAAGCCAATTGTGAATCTTAATGGTTTATGTCCAACTTCATCACTTTCATGAACCTTCTCTACTGAAAACATAAGACAAATTCATAAGATGCCAGTAATAAAAAATAGTGGCTCCCCCACCTCCTCTTTGCTCTGATCTCTAAAGTAGGTAATCTTACTGGTGCATTGGCATGTTGTGTTGTTGCTTGATTATGTGCTGCACACTTAGTAGATCTTGCCGAAGCTCTGGGCCTGGCTGCCGGCATGGGATTCCTGCCCTCTTCAAGTTGCCTGCTAGCGCTGATAACTCTTGCCATTCATTTTGCCACTCAGAAGACCTTGTTGTTCTATTAACAGAGGCTCAAGCTTCCTCCTTCCTCTCTTAGCTAGCTATCCCCATCCTAGTGTCAGATGGTCATCTGTCCATTGCTGGAACCCCACACAGGTTTCGGCAGTCACTTTATTTGCTTGGTTCAGACTAGAAGCTAGCGGAATGGGAGGACATGGAGGACAGAAGCCCACATTCGGTAGAAACGGTAGTGATTGCATCTCTCCTGAGTGTGTGTGTGTGTGTGTGTGTGTGTGTGTGTGACCACCGCTCTAACTATTCTCTCCCTCACTTCGGTTAAGGAATCAAAACAAACATCCTGATTTTTTAGTGCATCATTAAAACTGTGTTGTGCTGACAGGGTACTAAGGGAATGATTGATTATTACCCAAAGACATTGCCTCATCATTTAGAATATGCTAGCTTGTGTAGAACACCTTCGAAGCAAGTTTTACGATATCAAATTGGCTGCTTGTTTTTCATGTCTACATAGAAGGTCTTCCGACCGAAGACATACAAAACATCCTGGAGAAGGTTTCCTCCGACTGGCAGAAGCTATCGCAGCACTTGGAAGATGTGGCAAAGAAGATTCAGCTCCAGGAAGAAATAAACGCTTACTCTCAGCAGCTGGATGAGCTTGAAAAGACCGTGGTGAAAAAGGAGGAGTGGGTAAAACGCACCCCCTTCTCCGAGCCTCCCCAGCAGTCCCTGCCAAGTCTGAAGGACTCGTGCCAGGTACAGAGCCAACCGCTGGCGTCAGGAGAGAAGTCGATGAGTGCCATCCTTATGGAAGGCACTTGTAGCGAGAGCTTTGGGCTCCTTCTCCTTCTGGGCCGATGTTCATCTTCTGTGAGTGCGTGACCATCTTTTCTCTTATGTAGTGGGAATTAACCAGCCTCATCGGCCTCCAACCTAAAATCGAAATGCTCTGTGCCAACTGCTCGGCCCTGACGTCTCATCCTTCCGCTCCAGCTTTCGTCCAAGAGAGCTTGGACGGCTTTCTGGACCGCTACCAAGCTGTGCGACAAGATTTAGAGGCTCGGCAGCGGCAGCTAGAGACTGGTGAGTCCATCCTGCTGGTTTACTTATTGGATAATTCAAGTTGCTCTTCTATCCTGACCGTTTGCCTGGATTGAAAAACTCCTTTCCAATAGTTACATGACTCGGGATGTGCACCAGCCTCACTGTTTTCCCCTGAGCCCTCCGTTTTTTGTCTATTGAAAAATGATTGATTTTCGTTTTTATTTCAGAATTTGTTTTTTTAAAAGAATGATTCTTTTTGTTTATTTTCAAGGGCCTCCTGACTATTCCTTGAGTACTACCCAGACTTGTTGGGGGCACTCTAAACAGATTTCGCCTGCTCTGAAGTGATGTTACAGGATAGAATGACTCTACGTAGTAGCCCAGTAGCTATTTTTCCCTTTGATTGGTGGGAGCCAGCTAACCTCATTACTCGTCAGACTAAAAAAATCATTACTTCTTGCTTCTGTTTGCTCCAAATGGTCGAATCTCGAAGAAATGTTATTCCTTCGTTCAGAATCTGAACATTTTGGCTGATTTCTTACTTTTGGAGCAAACCTTTTTTGGAAGGTTTTCTGGTAATGATTTTGAGAGTGCACTTATCATGTGTATGTTTTTTTTTCTCCTTAGCTATTGTGTCAGTTAAGACTTGGTGGTATTATGTAATGCTATGCTACAGAGATATATTACATATTTAAGCAGACCCTCACTAGATGCCTAGGGGCGGAGTGGGTTATACATTAGTTTGCTAACTGCCAGGTCAGTGGTTTGAAACCACCAGCCGCTCTGTGGGAGAAAGATGAGCCTTTCTACTCCCATAGTGCGTTTCAGTCTCAGAAACCTGTATGGACAGTTCTGCCCTGACGTATAGGGTTGGTATGAGTCTGAAATGACTTGAGGACAGTGGGTTGTTTTTTGTGGGGTGGGGTGGGGGTGGGGCAGCAGGTGTCAGTTATCAATTGTAGATTCGGCGATGATCAGAAGAATCTATATGTTTGCATATTAAGCACATGTGCCCCGCTTCGTTCAACTGGAAAGAAATTGGCACACTTCATACTCTTTGTCCATTGTATTAAGTGCATCGAGCATGTGAAATCAAAGCTTGGGAGTACCTCCTTAATTTGTTGTTACACAACCCACTGTTCTTTTTAGTAAAGGTCCTAGGCAGCTTAAACAGTTCCTTAACTTTGCCCGCTAGTTGGTTTCTTATCTTTGCACTTCCGAAGATCTCACTTCCCTTGCCCACAACCGTTACATGCAAATGCGCTTTACATGACTGGCTTACATAGATATTATCTAGAATGACTTAGAGTCACCATTCTTCAGCGTACCTGTGGCCGCTTGACTGATGTCTCCCTGAATAACGTGCACCCCGCTGCACACTGCAGTTTGAGCTTGGAGAAGACTAGTTGTGGGGGGCCTTTGTTTTTCCCTTCATTCTGGTGCAACCAGAGAGGAGGAGATGATGTGAGACAGAGGGACATTGTAAGTGGCCCCTTCAGGGAGTCCCTTCATCATGCTGAGAGGAAGAAACCTAATCCTGGCTTAGTCAGTGTTTCAGAAAGTAACATCTGCGGGAGCAAAGCCATTGATGCTCGGACATGCCAATGGCATGATCTATTTCATTAACTACCAGAAACTGTCCTTTTAATGGTGGGGTCTAAGAAAGGTAATATGTATCAGAATCCATTCATGGAAGAGGAATGGAATCTAAAATAATATTTGACTCCCAACTTGGTTTTCTCAAATGAGATATTTTTAAACAAACAGAACTGAAGAGCCAACCCGGACGTGAATATTTGGAAACACTGAGGACCCTGAAAGATAAGCTGAACGATTCAGAAAACAGGGCCCAGGCTTCGCTGAGTGTCTTGAATGAGCTTGAGAAGGTGGAGATGGTCCTGCGAGAAAAAAAGGTAATGTACATATTTTCAGGCCTTTCTTTCTTAAGGACCATTTTTAGTATCTCACATGACACGATAATTTGAAATGCCTTTTGGGGTACTTTTTAATGGTCACTTTTGGTTAAAGTTGGTAACATAATTTTATTGAATTTGAAGTTATTTTCTTTAATGGCAAGCCTTAATGAAAAGAAAGCTAGATTTTAAGTCCCTTGTAATTAGAAGAGACCTATTTTCTGCTTCTATTGTAATTCCCCCCAAATTCCCAGCACGTTGGCGATTTGCTAAAATACCTTTAATAAAATGGAGACTATTAGTCAAATTGAATGGTAATTAATTTTATGCTGAATAAGAATGCTTCCCTTGTCATTTAGTTAAGTAGCCTCTTGGTTCACATGCTCCATCAGAAAACTAGATAAACCCTTATCACTGCAGGGTTGGCCTCACTGGTGTGTGGTTCTGGTGGCATTTAGGGTATTCGTGTACTATGTCTGACCTACACACAGCCCATGAAGGGAAAGCTTTATTTTTATGATCATTATTTTTTCTTGAGTGTTTCACGTTCTTTTCTGTTTTGTTTTCTTCTCTATGTTATGTGTAGGAATGTTCATATTGCTGTATTCCTACAGATAACGTAGTTTTGGACAATTTTAAGTTTGAAATAACTCTTCCAGGCCCTTGATGAAGTTCTTGAGAATCAAAGGCTTGCCTTATATGAACTGGCGGAGGAAACGAAAGCTCTGGAGAAGAATGCTCCTCCAGGAGCGGACAAGCTCTATCGGCAGGAATTTGACACTGTTCAAGGCAGGTGGGACAAACTGAAGGCCGAGGTTTCCAGAGACCTGCATCTGCTTGAGGAGATCGCACCGAAGCTCAGGACTTTTGAGGTAAGTCCAGAGGCCCACGGAATCTGGAGTTTATTACAGGATTGGAGAGTAATGGTCACTATTACTAGTAATCTATAACTCTCAGGTATAGTCAGCATTTGAGAATTTTGACATTCTTTCTTATCCCATACTGATTATGATTTTAACGTGAGACTTGTAACTTGCTCACCGAAGATGTACTTTTTAATGTGCCGGATCTGAGATCTTTCAGAAGAGTATCTTAAGGGGTTTCTCCCATGGTACCTCTGGGTAGGTTTGCACCAATTTTGGGGTTGCCCATTGAGCAGTTTGCCATTTATACCTGAACCCTGGTGGTAAAGTGGTTAAGCTTTTCTGCTGCTACCAGAAAGGTCCATGGTTCAAATCCACCAGCTGATCCCTGGGGGAAAGATGGGTCCATACATATTCCAGCTTTGGGAATCTTGTGGGGCAGTTCTACTCCCTATTCCAGGATTGTCAGGAGTCAACATCCACTCAAGGCTTCCAGCAAGAATTGCCTAGGTAGTTTCAAATAATGGAGTTCTTGAACCTATTTGTTAAGGTTTTGGATAGAAAATCCGAACCAGACCCTGAGCGGACAGTGTCTGATTGGGAAAGCAAGCAATCCACTGGGCACAGAAATGCAGAAACAGGATACATAGGAAAGTGTCGACAGATGAAGCTGCGATAAGGTTCCAGAAGAAAGGGCAAATGTCCGGGCAAGAACCAACAAACACTGTCGTCGAGTCTCTGCTGACTTACGGTGACTCGACTATTGCTGGCTTCCAAGACAGCATAGCTGTTTATGAGAGTAGAGAGTCGGTCTTTCTCCCGAGGAGCTGCTGCGGGTTTTGAACCGCTGACCATGTGGATCACAGCCCGATGCACAACCACCACACCACCAGGGCTCCTGATGTGAGGGCAGATGAGGAGAAAATGGTCAGTGAAAGAGGAAGTCAAGTTTTAGCATTTTGCCTGGGAGAAACATGTAGGAACACTTTCGAAAACAGGTTTTTCCAATGGGAGAGCGCTAGAGCAGCGGTTCTCAACCTGTGGGTCACGACCCCTCTGGGGCTCAAACGACCCTTTCACAGGGGTCGCCCAATTCATAACAATAGCAAAAGTACAGTTACGAAGTAGCATTGAAAATAATTTTATGGTTGGGGGTCATCATCACATGAGGAACTGTAGGAAGGTTGAGAACCCCTGCTCTAGATGAAGCATGGAGTAATCACACTCTCTCTCCACTAAGACTCCCAGAGTTTCCCAGAGCCTAACCTTGACACCACCCCTTCCCTCTTTCCCAGGTCAGGGATCTTTGCTGTTTTGGCATAGCGGGCTATATGTTGGACACCTCACCACAAGGTCAATGGTTTGAAATGACCAGCTGCTCCAGTAAAGAGTTACAGGCTCAGAAACCCAGAGAGCAGTTCTACCCCGTCTTTTAGGTCATTGTTAATAGGAATCGCCTCAATGGCAGTGAGTTTTTATTGGTGTGCGTGTGCGTGTGCGTGTGCGTGAGCGTGTGCGTGTGCGTGTGCGTGTGTGTGTCCCAAGCCATACTTACAGAACCATGCCTGCCACAGAGAAGGCACTCAATAAAAACACTTACATGAATGAAGTGTGAGTGGTAAGGAGATTTAGATTTGGAAATAGGTATGTATATAGGGAGTCCCTGACTTCTGACACATTTGAGTTATGATGAACCCCACATATGACCTTTTTCTTTTTTAGTATATCTTGTCATTAGTCAGGAACCCTTGTCGTGTAGTGGGTTATGTGCTGGGCTGCTAACTTCAAGGCCAGGAGTTCAGTTTCACCAGTCAATCCGTGGAAGAAAGGCCGGTTCTGCCCTGTTCTAAAGGGTTGCTATGAGCTGGCATTGACTCCGTAGGCAGTTAGCTATCAGTGGTGATCTGTCCTGCAGACGGTGTTGTAGAACACGGCGTGCTGATACTACTCTTCTCCGCTGTTCACTCCTAGTTGTTCCGTGTGATGATTTAAACAGAGACTGACAATAAAGCGCAATAACAATGAGCACTGAAAATGAGGTGGTTTGTCTTACATGAGAATTTATGACGCAGTGGTCAGAATGGAACTCTGTCCTTTGTGTGTGTGCGTGGATATTTCGTATGAATCTGAACTTTGTGTCAAGAACATTGATCAAAAAGATGAAGAGATTCAAGGTGAAGAGCAATTTTATGACTATGATGTTTTGAAAAGCAAGGTTGGAGAAGCTGTGGTAGGAGAGGAGTTAGTACACCACCGAGATCACCTGGCTGGGAAAGGCAGACAAGTGAGCACTGAACTTAAGGAGAATTTCGTGGACCCAGGAACCAAAAGACAACACCCGTGGGTGTTTTGCTCACGTGTGTAAAGAGGCAGTGTAAAGAGGCTGTGTCCTTGAAGTGTAAGCTGCCGCTCCAGCCTGAGCTCCCAGGAGACCAACCATTAATAATGGAGAGGAGTGTGCTACGTGCACCTCAGTACTTTTGACTTGTTGATTATTGTGGGAGGTTCTACTTTCCTCTCTTTGTCAGCAGGTGCAATTATTTCCATCTGTATAAACCAGACTCACCTGTACAGATAACGCTGAAGTTTTTGTTTCGGTCCAAGCACATGGTTTGTCAATTGGGGACGGTTTTGTCTGTTAGGAGACTTGTGGCAACATCTCGAGACTGTTCGGTGTTAAAACTGTAGGGAAGGTGAGGTTGCTACTGCCACTTAATGAGTAGAGGCTAAAGATACTACAAACACCTAGCAATAGGCCCCACTCCCCCAAGAAAGAATGATCGTATCTAAGATGCTGATGGTGCAGTGCTTTGCAAACTCGTCCCCTTACTTTTCAGAAGACCACCATTTTGTTTTCAAATGTAAATGGGAGATGGAGCTAGGGAAAAACACAGGTAAAGATGATATCCAAAGGTTATATTTACTTCCTTGAAGTGCCTTCTAGAGTCATTTAAATAGGAAGTAGCTTCAAAAAATTTTGTGGAAAATGGAATGAAACATTTCCATGAACTTTTGAGGTCTCCTTTATATATGCAAATACTTTTAATGTGGAATTTAAGTTCCATATTATGGATAAATATTTTCTCACTTACTAACATGAGTCCTGTGATTATCATCATCCGCTTTGGGCTTAATGACTTATTGTCACTAAGGCATTAAATCCAGCAACTTATAGGGGGGTCAGTTGGTTCACATGTCAAATGTATTTGCACTAAAAACAACCCGCATCAAACACCTGTGTTTGGCCATTCTGAGGGCTTAATTTTTGTTTTTATGTTACAGATTTGTAATGTTTGATTATTTAATTCATTTATTTTACATTATAGAATAGACTTATTTGCCTGAAACCCTGCCTGTGCCATGCTTGTTGCACAGAAAGAAACAGCTGATCCTGATTTATGGACTAAAGTAAAACATGCATTGGGAAAAATTGACACTTAGCATTTCATTAAGATAAATACATCAGTATTTGTATTGCGCCAGCATCTGTCTCTTGCTTCCAGTTTCATTAAATAAGTTACATTTCACACAGTGCAAATGAGCTGTTTGTACACTCAGAAATATAATCTGCATTGTGAATAGGAGGCCCACATGTTAACTCTTCAATACCAGTATTGTTTCCACTGGATTTATAAATAAACAATCTGAACAGGGCCAATTAAAAAAGGGTGTGTGTCAATGACACTGGAGAGAAATCTGGTTATAGAAATCTTACTTACGGCTCAGTGTTTACAGGTTTGCATTTATATGAGCTGTGACATTTTGCACAGAGGTATGGAGACTTGGCTGATAGATGGCTTCTAAATTCTTGGGTAAGGTTTCAGAATCTCATTCTTCTTGCAGCAATGAAACTCTTCTCTGGAGAGGCTTCCTCATTTATTAAGCTAGATTTTATTTGCTCTTTGATGTCCTGACTACAAGATTATGGACTATATCTGTATGGTATTCCTTAACAGTTTGACTTCTTTAGTGGAAAACATTTTTTTTTTCTTAATTCTAAAGAACAATTACTCATTTATTTACTTTGGAAGAGTTGCTTCTTACTCACAATTCATTGGGAAAACTTAAACAAGAGAATTGATCCCTCTCCCAAGGTTACGGTTGCTGTTAGGTGCCATTGAGGCCGTTTGAACCCTTAGTTACCCTGCACCCTACAGAAGGAAACACTGCCCTGGCCCGCGCCCTCCTCAGAATTGCTCCTGTGCTTGCACCCACTGGCGGCCATGGTGACAGTCCGTCTTGTTCAGGGCCTTCTTTTTCTACACATGTTCTTCTCCATGTACTGCTCTCTCCAGACAGGATGCCCAATGTCCCGCCATCCTGGCCTCT